CTCTTGCAAGTGAAAAACTTTTTATTAAAGTAAACAGCTCTCTTGGTGGTATATGCAGGCACTTGGTGAGTAACTGATGCTGCAAGTGAAAGTTGACAGAAGATAGTTAGGGGTCTTGTGCGCTGAAGAAAACCTACCCAATGAGTCACATCTATCCCTGTCTCCACAACAGCCCGATTTGTAAGCAGAAAAGTAATTTTGAGTTTTAGAGTACAAATCTGAAGGGGGAGAATCTGGACTCTTTGTCATTCACTAGAGCAAAACTCAGCACAGCACCCCGTGGCCAAAAAATAGTAGAAGGGTCTTGAGTATGTTTCCCCTTTTGAGCCAGACTCTTACTAAATTATTAAACAATTTGGTTTGTGCAGGTCAGGTTTAGGACACGACACGTGCCCATGCTGACGCATGAGGACCATAGCGTACCCCAAGACTCGCCGTCCTCGGAGGTATGATCTCAGAAGAAAAGCTTCTGCGAGCTGCCTCGCTGCTTAAGCCGCCGTGCTGGCCTGCAGTAAAAGTAGCTGTGCAACTGGAATAGTTTCTTACTTACTAAGGTGCTATCTACAGGGTACAGCCACACCAAACAAGCCCACTGCGTAGTGCCAGAAGTTATTAGTGGAGTGGCAGGGGGAAGATGACTAGTGTGCTATTTAGTTTCCCTTTCTGTGCTTTTCGTTCTGCACTGGGGTTAAGGGAAATGTCTGGGATGAGGTGAGCTCTCATCTACCTCAAACTGCTTGTGGGAAATGGGGTGAAATGGAAAACGATGAGATTTTTGGAGGAAAAAAGCCCAACCAAGCCTTGCCAGCCTGTAAAGAAGTCCTGAATGGGGACTATTTCCATCTGTAGCCAGGAACAAATATTTAGCTACAAGAAGGGGCTCTGGGTATTTTTTTCTGAGCCAGTTTTCCTCTGCAGCCTACCGCCTGCCAGATCGACTGCCGATTCCCCACCAGGAAAACTAAAGACTGAAGAGAGAAATGAGAATGACCTCAAAGAAAGCCCAAGTACCCCCCCACTCCCCGAAAACGGGAGAACAAAGGAGGAACTTTTATCATGGTAGGGGGTTTGCCCAAGGACTGATAGATCTCCAGACATCCTGGAGAGCTGCTGCACTCACAGCACATTTCTTCTGTCTGCAGCCTGCTGGGAAGATGGATCCCCCTACACAGCTCGTAAAGACTTTGCTGTAATAATTTTGCGGGTGCAAGTAAAGCTGTGTGGTCTGGGGGGGTTGGTGCCCGGCGCCGTTCCATCGACCGCCTCCCAGGCGTGGCACTTCTCCTGGTACACCCCTTCATGCAGAAGGAAATTCGTACCAAAAGCAAATTGACATCTATGGCTCCCTCTGTTCTACAGAAATAGCTGCCTGTAAACACAGCTGTGAAAGAGCCTCCTAGCTCGAGTATCTTTAGATATATCACTTCTTTTTACTGTTTAGAAAGGAAAAAACCCAGCATTTTCACCATATTGTCTGCTGAAGCTCCCGAAGCGTGCTAGCCATGCGAAGGAGCCAGGCTCCTGGCTCTGCCTTAAAGCTCCTCCAGAATCTATGCCTCCCCCCAGCCATCTTTTTACCATTTTTTTTTTTTCCTAAGAGGAAAAAGCAGACAGGTCTCTCTTCCATACTACCCCACATAGGACAATTTGGCCAATGAAACCTGCAGATTTGGCGAGCTTGAGCAAGTGCCAGCTGGATTCATGCCCTTTCTACTGCCTCTGGTTCCTCTCCATTTCATTTTTCCTCCTTTTTTTCCTGCTAGCTTTATTAGCACCTGGGAACCGATGTGTCACCGCGGGCAGCTTGAGTTTACAGCGCTGAGCTTTTGTTTCAACCCTTTTTCCAGTCCCACCAGTCTGTCACGTACCTGGCACAGCAGAGATGCTCACAAGCACGCGGTGAAGAGTGTAGTAGGAACGCCAGAGCTGTTGGTGAACTTAAGAGATTAAAGGATAAAAGAGAGTAAAGGATTGGGGTTTCACTGGAAAAGGGCTTAGATCCTGCTTGGAGGGGAAAAACTGGGAAGGAGAGAGCAGTTCAGATGGTTGGGTTCAGCCTCTCGCACCTGGAAGGCTGGCTCAGCCTCACCAAACCTGTGAACAACCGCCATTTCCAGCTCATTTTGGAGGCTCCAGCACGCTCCAGGCGCCCGCTTTCACCCAGCACGGCATGGCCTCCCTCTTTGGGCTTCTCCTGCTTTTCCCCCCACTGATCCCCTTCCAACACCCTCCAGGCAAAAAAATAAAAAAACAAAAAAAAACCCCCCAAAAAATCAAACCATTAAAAAAAAAACCCAGCCCTGCTTGAAGCTTTCCCCGTTCCTCCTCCTGCCCAGGCTTAGCCCTCAGCAAACGTCTCTGCCCTCCGGGGCACGGCTGAGCACAAAATAAAGTAAATACCACCCAGGATCAGGCAAGCCCACGCCAGGCATTGGCACGCGAGTGAGATGAGTCACCTCCTGCCTGCTCTGCCTACACCCAGCCGCTTCCCAGACAGGCAAACATCCACCGCCGGCTCCAAGCCCAGCACCGGGAGCCTTGACCGTGGCGTTCCCCCTGCCACGATGCAAGCTGATGCTCGCCCTTGAAATCCTTCCCGCGCTGGGGCTGTCCCCTCCGCGGTGGCCAAGACACCACCTGCCCGGTCCCTTACTGCGAGTAAACCCCAGAGAGCCAAAATATTTCCCTTTCAGATGGCTGAACCACCCCTAACAGCATCCTACCTCTCCATGCGAGGGGCTGCGCTCCCCTCCCTGCTGCTTGCAGCAGGGAAAACACCCTTTTACCCCAGCCTTGCTCTCCCAGCTTAATTCCCCTTTGCCGTACACCCACGCCGCTCCTCTCTTTTCCTGGAAACACAGGCATTTCACTGCATTTTAAACACACAGGGCCAGATCAAGGCCAAAATACCACGCCGGTAGCGTCGCTAACTCCTGCCAGCCCAGGAGCGGAGAGTACAGGCAGCGATTTTCTCGGCTCCACCGCCCTCTGCGGGTTTGCACCACCGTTTCCAGCCAGATCCCGGGGAAAGCAACGGCCACGGCCAGTCTCCCAGCTCTGCAGGAAACCCAGGGCCTTGCACCGAGTCGTGCGAGCAGAAAGCGTTTTGATTCAATCTGGGAGAGAAAACGCGGTAAAAACAGCAAGAGGGAAATTTTACCATCTTTATGCAACACTCGCATCCCCTGCACGCTGCTGGCTCAGTCCTGTCCCTCTCAGCAGTGAAAACACCCTGTATTTCTAAGAGCTCCCTACCAATGGTACAAAACCGGCAGGCTGCAGCCCAAATCCAGCCCCTGATAACGAGCCAGGGCTAAATAGCCAACAAGCACCCAGCACATTTTGTTTGATGGCCATCAGCCCTCCCAGGTGCTGGGGTGAGGCTCAGCGAGGAGCCTGCGGTCCAGGTCCTGCCTTGCATTTCTTGGGCAAGCCTGACGAAGCCACAGAGCATCCGCTCGGGAGCAAACGTTGGCCTGCGTTACTGAGCTGGCAGCATCCAGCCGGCATCGCGGAGCTATAAATAAGATCGTTTTGAGAGCAACCTGTGCGGGGTCCGTGCTGCTGGATCCAAGCGCAGCCCGGCTGGCCAAAAACTCACCCGGGAGGAAGGAAAAGCATCCGGGAAAGACCTCCCTGCTGGGGAGATGTGTGGGGCCACACCATAGAGGTGGAAAGCAAACAACAACCCGCAGCGAGAGAGAGGTTTTTGGGCACAAAAGCCTGGCTTTAGCCTCCGAGAGAGGTGGCAGACGCCAAGCGCAGGCTGGGAAAAGCTTCCTTGGCTCAGTTTTGTCAGCACGGGATGGTCTCATCTGTGTGGATGGGGAGAAAAATGCAGATGAAGGGATGCAAGGCTCTCCTGCTATCAGAAAAAACAAGTCACGAGCAGCTCCAGACCCAGTAAAAAGTATTTATTTCAATTACGATAAGTCCCACGTGTAGGGTGAAAAAATAGTTACAAAAAAATCCCCCCCTCCATCCCTCCTTTTACATATAAATATTAAAAATCCCTCTACGTCTTTGCTTTCTGTCTAGAGCAAGAAGGTGCCCCACGAGACAACACGCAGCACCTGAGCTACCATCAGTGGTTTCCTCTCAAAACCGCAGAAGGAATATTAAAAAAAACCCAAAAACTTTATGTAAGCCCCTTGCCCCCATCCCGGCCAGATCTCACACCGGTGCCAAACCAGCCGCGGAGGTGTGGCGGGCAGTTTCCCGGGTGTAAAGGCCGGGCATGGCAGCGAGCGAAGCAGCAGCAGGAACGACCTCCGCTTGTCTGGGGAAGCTTTTGGGCTGGGAAATCACAGCTGACCTCGCTTCAGAGGGGACAGGAGGGAGAACCGGGTGCTTCATCCACACCGTCACCACCTTGGTTACATCTTTGGCACATCAACTTTTCCCTTTGCACTCCGAAATTAAAGCTAATCCCAGGAGTCGCAGCATCCCGGCAGAGCCTTTCT